TTCATGACTTACATTAGGTCTTTGATTCATTTTGAGTTTACTTTTATATATGGAGTTAATAGTAATACAGTTTCATTGTCTTGCATGTGGCTGTTCAGTTTTTCCAACACCAGTTATTGAAGAAGCTGTCTTTTCCCCATTTTATATCCATGACTCCTTTAGCTTATATTAATTAACCATATATGCATGGGTTTATATATGGGCTCTCTATTCTGTCATTGATCTATGGGTCTGTTCTTGTGCCAGTACCATACTGTTCTGATTACTGTAGCTTTGTAGTAGAGCTTGAAGTCAGGAAGCATAATCACCCCAGCTTTGTTCTTCTTTCTCAGGATTGCTTTGGCTACTTGAGGTCTATTGTGGTTCCACATGAACTTTAAGATTATTTGTTTGAGTTTACTGAAAAATGCTGCTATTGGTATTTTGATAGGGATTACACTAAATCTATAAATTTCTGTGGGTGCTCCAGCTTTAATTTTGCTCTTTCATATTTTCTCAACATTGCTTTCAATATTTCCAGCATGCTCTAAATTAACAGCAGGAATATCAGCAGTTACTTGATTTTTTTAAAAAAAATTTAAAATTAAATTAAAAAAAAAATAGAAAAAAAAAATAAAAAAATACAATGATTCTAAATTTAACAATACAAGTTAAAATAACAGCAAAATAATCACTAAAATCACTTGCAGAAGTTCCCATTCCTATCAACTATAATATGATTCACAGCAGACTGACAAAGGCTACTCAGTATTTCTGGTTACCAGCTAAAGTGGCACCATTAGAATAAACACAGTTTGTAGTTCACCAGGCCCACCAGCTTTGAAACTGATTACTACTGAATTTTTAAAACACTTTTGAGATTTGCACTACATAGAATTTTTAGTATAAAATGTTATTTTGCATTATTTCTAATTTATGAAAACTCAAAGCAACTGTACTGTAGTTTTAATAGCTTTATTGAAGTATAATTTACATAGTGTAATGCTCTTCCTTTATAAGTGTACAAGTCAGTAAGTTTTGGTAAATATATAGAGTTGTGCAACCCTCATCATAATCCAGTGTTAAATTATACATTTTAAACTCGAAATTGCTCTTAACCTACCTAACACAGCCAAGAAACTCATAGTACTGACAACTCAAAACTTTTTTAATCTGCTACTTTTTAAAATGAGAAAAATGCCAAGACTATTTTAAACATACAAAAAGAATCATGCTGCTGAGGATTTAAACTGTCCTCTAATTCTTGTTCACAATGTTGTCTTGGCAAATTATTCTACTACATACAGATAATATAAATGTAAAATTAAGTAGAGTTCAGTTTATATTTTGAATTCCAAACTATCTTTTGCTGACGCTCTACTATAGTCAATAAAATCTGACACATGTGCCTTCTAAAACTATTATGACTTGCAAGTGAGTATAAACCAAGCTATAAATGTGATGGCAAATACCTTCCTACAAAAAAGCTCAGCATCAGCAATACTTCCAAATAATATAAACTGATATTAGTATTTTTTTCAAAAAATTTTTTACATTTTTCTAAATTACTGGTTAAGTAGATAAATATACGTACATTCTGGCATAATACATAATAAAGTATCCCATGTTCTCTTTATGAAATGGAAAAAAACATGAAAGTAGAAATAGTTTAATTTATAGTTGTATGGACAAGTCTTAATAATCCTTAGTGACCCATGGCAACTAAAAGTGTCATGCCTCAGATCTCTGATCCTGGCACTGTCCACTTTATGATATCATGATATAACAATATATATTTAGTCCCAATTACTGCTAGAGTCCCTAAAACCCTTAGAATTTCCTGAGTAATGGGGGTGAGAGGAGCATCTTCTGTTATTCAAAAGAAGTTCCTTTAATCATACTTGAATTTATGCTAATGAGTGACCCCTGTGGGATAGGAGATGGTTGCCAAGGGAACCAACCATATGATTAGAAGTTGGAACTTTCAGCTCCAAGCAGGACCCCTGAGGGGAGAGGGACTAATAGTGGGGGAGAGAGGCTAAGGATTAAGTTCATCACCAATGGCCAATAATTTAGTTAATCATGCTTTGGTAAAAGAGCCTTCATAAGAACCCTAAACTGCAGGGTTTGGAACACTTTCAGGTTGGTGAACACACTGAGTTGCCAGGCAGGTTGTGATCCTGGAGAGGACATAAAGGCTCTATGCCTATTCTCCATAACTTGTCTTACGCATCTCTTCCATTTGACTGATACTGAGTTGTATCTTTTGTAATAAACCAGTAATAGTAAGTAAAGTATTTCCGATTTCTATGAGCTATTCTAGCAAATAATCAAACTTCAGGAGGGAGTCATGGGAACTCCCAGGAGTTTCATGAGAGGCCTGGTCTCCTGACTGGCATTTGAGTGAGGGGCACTCTTAAGGGACTGAGCTCTTAACCTTTGGGGCCTGTGTTAACTCTGGGTAGTTAGTGTCAGAACTGAATTGTAGAACACCCAGCTGGCATCCACAGAGAAGTGGAGAATTGTCTGATATGGGAAACCCACACATTCAGTGTCAGAAGTGTTATGAGAGAGAGAAACAAGTGTTCCTTTAAACATGTTTTGTTAATGATTTCAATGAGAGCAGTGATGACTAACTAAACCAAGGTGACCAAATAGAAAGTGGTAGAAAACTGAGAGGGATGTCAAATCAACATCTAAACCTATCGTAAATTCAGGATGACTCAGAAATGACAATTTAGTCAGAATAATAAATATAACTCTAAACCTTGGGTCTAAAAGAATTTCACAGGAACAAATAAGAGAAGATGTAACTTAACAATGACAAATCTAACAATAACAAAGAAGAACTTAAAAGTTTTAGTTAACCATAAGCTCAACATTAGCAATGTTACAACAGCTAATGTAGCCCTTAAGAGTCTGTTATTACTGTAATGACCAGAATTTCTAGTTCAACATAGTAGGGAGAGCATAGACATATCTATTTCTCCTTCCTCCCAAATCCCATTGGAAGAAAATGACAGGGAAAAAAAAATTTAATCCATAAAATTATAGCATCATTGGAAAATGTGAAATGGATATCAGTGGACCAGAAATCTTAAAGAATACCTTGAAACTAGCCAACACAGGATCAGGCAGGTAGAATAAGAACAGCAGCAGCAAAAACACTGTAGCCTAACAGCTTAGAGGTGAAACAATCCTCCTGAGAGGATTCCAGAGACCTTCCAAATTCCAGGCCCACAAACACTGTTACCCACACCTGGAATGCTGTATGTATTACTTCATTTAATCCTCATAATTACTTTATAAAATAGGTACCATGCAGCCATTTTTTCAGATGAGGGGGCTGAGGCTTAGACACATTATATGATCACACAGCTAGTGAATGGCTAGCCAGGATTTGAACTAGATAGTCTGAATCTTGATTCTGTGCCTTTAATTATCATATGGATATAGGCCAAAGAGTAATCCATCAGACTAAGTCATAAAAGCACTACACTAAATTTAGCTGGCACTATTTCCCTCAGGTAAGTAGAGTAGTTCTTCTGTTTTGTTCTTGGATTAAACCTTGATAACCTTCTTATGTAAAATGAGTAAAATCTGTCTGGAGTGCCTAGAGCGCCTCAGAGAGGAGGAAGGATGCATGAGTTAACTTCAGAATCCACATAGATACGGAGGAAGGAAAAACTTAAAAGGAATGAAAGAGGAACACCAAATAAATACCACCACAAGAAATAAACTTCCTTACTCCAGCCACTGTGGGGTTTCCAGGCTACCTGCTCCAAGATTACATTTTCTAAACGGAACTCTGCCAGCAGGCATACTTGGCTCACAAAGATTCACAGTCACCCCACCCATTCAAAGAAGATGTCTGTCTCCTAAGTGGTGAGACATTAACAGGATGGTGGCCTGAAGCTAGCCTGCCTGGGTCCAACAACACTTAGCTATGTGACTCTGGGAAAATTATTTTTCTATCTTCTTTCTTCTCTTTCATCATCTGAAAAATGAGAATAACTATATTTATGTAATAAAAGTTCTTGTGAGGATTAGGTGAGATAATTTTCACTTGGAATACTGCTTGACCCAGAAAAGAAGCTGTTATATATGTAAGTGCTTATACATGGCCTGGCTCAGGGCAGCATGCAAACAATGGTAGCTGCTAGATATTAAGCACAGGGGCAAGGACATAAATTAGATGAGTTCTAAGAAATCTTCCGGTCCTAAAAAACTACCAGATTCTTAACAGAAAAAAAATTAATTTCATCAAATAAGACAAAGCAAATTTCAAAGCAAAATATTCACTGAAGTCAGATTGATACTTGGTTTAAATTTACCCCTGAGCCTCTGAAGATATTTTTTAACCTATCTTTATTTGCAACTACTAACTATAAGCTGCCTCTGAATAATACATATTAAATGTGTCAGATGAATTTGGATTTAGAGAATCAGAAGACTTAAGTGACTGCTAAGCAATTTTGACTAATATCAAGTAATAGATATAACACTTATTCCCCTGCTAGTCTTGGCCATAGATTCAGCTCTTTCAATCCAGAAGTGCAAAAATGAAAACTTGCAATAACAGAACAATATCCAATATCTTGTTCCCAAGAAGGGACAAAATATATCAGCCTCATGTCAGCTGGAATCCCCAGGGCAGTAATAGGCCCAGCACTACTAGACTACAAGGAAAAGCCAGCCAGACTCATAGACAAGGCACAGGCCAAGTTAGATAGGGGTGCAGTCAGGATCTTATTCCAAACCTAAGCTAACCAAATGTATGAATTGATTATGGGCCCCACTCCAGAAATTCTATCCATTTTAGAGTTCACAATTAACAACAGTTTCCTCAGAAACAATTCGAAGGCCCCAGAAATTAAGCCATCTGCCTGGCGACTTTCTCATACAGAAGCTATGTGAACTCAAAGCAGACCCTCTGGGGCAGCAGCCAGAAACCTTTTAACCTCATAACCTAAAGAAATCAGAGATGGATTCTGCCAACCTCATGTTCAGCAGAAAAAAGAAACTTTGGGCAAATCTGACACACATATTACAAGACTAACACTTAGAACTACACATCTACATGATCCTTACCATGAGGCTGGAAAAAACTCCTAATAGAAGATTAGAACAGTGATGGCAAAGCCTCCATTCCCAGAATAAGACATTAAAACTTTTGCAGCCCTTTTCCTCTCCTTTATAGTAAGAATTTTTTCCTACTCCTTTTTCTCTGTGGCTTTCCTTGCCACTTAACAACTTTTCTAGTTGCTCCATTCCCATTTTTATATCTGAATTCTTTTAAAACTCCTCTGTTCTTTCTCCTACTATCATAAATATTATTCTAATAAGTTACAAAAGAAACTGTCAGAACAAATACAAAAAGAAGGCTTTGATCAATTCTTTTTGTTAACATGAATATCGTCTACTTTTTTTCTGGCCTGTAATCTTCAAATGTCAAAACACAATGCCTATCCTAAAAGCAAAGCAACTATTTAAAAACAGTCTAATGAATAACCTTTGGTGGTAATAACAGTTTATTATTAATGCAAAGAGGTTATATATAAACCCTCACTATGACATACAGACAGTAATTTATAATTCTAATACAAATGAAATCTTTTACCTAAATTGAAAATACACAGATATGTAAATATCTCAAAGTACAGCCACTTTCAGTACTTCATGTTCAAAAATAAATGTGGAAAAACTCAACCATCCCTAACTGTTTTTATTCTTTATTGGAAAATAATATTCCTTCTCAAATAAAAAGACAAATTATTTATAATAAAAAGACGTGTTAATATAATTTTGTCTTATTTTATATTTTGGAGTATTTACAGAAGTTAGAGAAGCAATTTTAATCATTCTTTTCACTTAAGAAGTCTCTTCAAAGTTCTTTTCTCTTTAATATAGAAAACAAAGGCAGTGATACATAATAATGCCTGCATTGATCACTTACCTCATAATCTAGCCTGCAATTAAACTAGGGTCCAAGAAATATAATTACTTAAAATATTTTAAAAGTATATCTCTATGCATGTTTCTGACTGAGGTGGTGCGTCTCAGTCCCATTTTTGTATTTCTATTTATTTTTTTCCTCCCTCCAACACTTTAACTGGGTTTCACTTAGAATATAATTTTAAAATATCACAATCATACCTATAGTACTTGCATTTGTGTCTTAATGGTATTAAATTCACTTGAAAAAGAAAACTAAAAGAAAAAGAATCCAACAAATACAACAGAACTTCCTTTATCTTATCTATTTTCTAAAAAATATATAACCACATTAATACACTTAAGCAAATGATTCCAAGAATATAAAAGGAGAAAACCACATGTTTCACAAAAGCCATATAAAATGTCCATCTTACCAATATCATTAGCAAGAGAATTATGATCTGAAGCTCCCAGGGTAGCTTCAAACTCCTCTTGGAGACGATATGCTCTTTGCAGCAGAGCTTCAAGTTTATGGATAAATTCAGTGCTAATAATATCCTACAAGGAGAGAAAATGTACACATAGCAAATATTAGATTCTAATGTTAAAACTCTAAACATTTTCCACTTTTAAATGAAAGGCAGAGGAAGTGAAGGACATAAAGACCACTACTGGGTGGCACAGTACTGCAACAGAAGTCAGGAGGCCTGGGTGCTAGCTGTGCCTTTAGTAAAATCATCTCAGTTCTCAGGGATTCAGTTTCTTCATGTGTAAAATTAAGGAGCTGGACTAGACCAACAGTTCTAAAAGTGAGGTCCCTGACCAGCAGCAACTGTATCATGTGAGAACTTGTTAGAAATGCAAATTCTCAGGACTTACCCCAGCTCCACTTCATTAAAAGCCCTGGGGCTGTGGCCCCCAAATCTGTTTTAACATGCCTTTCAGATGATATTGATGCATGTTCAAATTTGACAATCACTAGCCTAGATGATCAGTAAGTACCAGTCTAGCTCTACCTCTGTGTGATTTTTATGAATATAATGGTCCCTAATTGAACCTACAGATCAAAACAAATTTTTAAAAATTCCTTTAGAAATCATATCTGCATAACTATATATTTTCTTGGAAAATCAGGAAAACTTGATAATAAATTACAAATTTGGGATTTAACCACTAACTGAACAGAAAGAGCCTAATAAGAAATACCCTCACATAATCCCAAAAGAGAAAAAAAAAATATTCTATTAAGGGCCACAGAAAGCAAGTACACTGAATCAACATTAAAAATGGTGTGACTCGTCCAATATTATGAAGGCCATTCTCAAAAAAGCCATCCTTACATCCACACTTTCTTCAGCAATGGCATCTCCTGCACCCAATTTAATGGAACCACAAGCTTCATCTTCAGCCTGTCTATTTCGAAAGGTGAGGGCTTGTTCCCATCGACGCAATGCCTCTTCAAACAACTCCATGCCTAAAAATTAAGAACAGAACAATTGAAAATAAGCAAAACAAATGCCAAAATAAAACCACTTGGGGTGTGAAGTGGTTTTCATGTAGTTATCACCATTGGCATATGGTCTGACTATAATCTTGACATTCAAGAATAACTTTATGCTTACATCATTTCACAGCAGAATCTTATTTTCCCAATATATTCAAGACCTACAGTTCTATACTAGCATCATTTCATAGTAGAACCCTAATTTCCCAATATATTCGAGGCATACAGTTCTAGCCAACCAAAAATCAGAGAGAAATGACCAGTATGTTTTCATTTTTTTTTTTTTGAGAGGGCATCTCTCATATTTATTGATCAAATGGTTGTTAACAACAATAAAATTCTGTATAGGGGGGGTCAATGCTCAATGTACAATCATTAATCCATCTTAAGCTTAATTCTCGTCAGTCACCAATCTTCTGAAGCATAATGAACAAGTTCTTACATGGTGAACGAATTCTTACATAGTGAATAAATTCTTACATGGTGAACAATACAAGGGCATTCATCACAGAAACTTTCGGTGT